TCTTTCATCATTTATCATCTACTACGAAAAGTTCGATGATCGCATAAATGTTTATAGAACATGCTTTTATTACCCTCAAACTACCAATATCGGAGTATCTGGAGCGTCCAGTTTGCTGGAAAGAAAAGAGAATAAATACATAAAAATGAGCGAGGGGGAGGAAAAGAAAAAAGTCCAACCTCCTTTCACCCCGCTCTTGGTCACTTAAACATACAACAACCCCTTCGATCACACATTTGCTTTTTCAAATGATCTTACAAACAAATGTTTCTAGGTTAAAATCAGTCGTCGAAGATTATGTGATCCAGAATAAAAATCGACATATTATTCCGTTTCTTGTTAACTCCGACATTTTTTTAAACCTGGATATTTCTTTAAAGCCATTATAATCAGGATTTGGAGAAAAAACGTATTTAGGAGGGAAAAGAATTGAAAAATCTCTTTGTACATTATGCAAACGAAGAAGTTCTATCTGCAGTAATGTTGGGAGCGGTCTGCGTCTAAGAAAGCCTTCCTGCTATACATCTCTCCGTGACCGCATTAACTCATCAGCTTGACCCATTAACAGAGGTCAATGACGAGACCTTCAAAACTAAAGAAACAATTCGGTTCCTTGTTGCGGTGCGTGGGGACTGATAGTTCTCTGGATCTTGCTGAAGTTAATTTTTAACTGATGAATGCATTAGATCCTGCTAGCAACTTCAGTTTTTCTCTCCACCCTTGAATTCAATTTAACTTTTGAACTGTATTTTATACTTCATTGTTTTTCTAATGTTTAACATAGAAGTCGTTTTTATTTGCTCCATTAAAAGATAATGGTAAACAAAAAAGTATACTTTCATAGTTTTCACAGAAGTATAATTAGATTACTAATTTCATCGTCTCTATGATAACTATAGTTATTTAACTACAGTTCGATATCTAATCTTCGTATAAAAGACGATAAAATTAGTAATGAAATTGAGTAACCTTTTCCATTTCATACAAACATTTATTATATTTTCTCTTATAATTATTGTGAAAATCAACATTTTCAAGTTACAAAAAGACATTTTCGTACATTGTAATATGTAATTCGCACATACAAATTTAGTCATAGTAAATATTTCTCAAGCTTTATCGACTTATCGCAAATTATTATAAAATAAAAATGAACACGCAATTTCAATGAGTAATTAATAAACACAAATAAGAATGTTATGAATATAAAATATTTTAGTCTTGATCGAATTCAGAATACCTATAACTTTTGGCCTTTTCGTTGTAAAAAAGTACTATTTAACGTTTTTGCTACACAATTTGATATTACCTTCATACCCGAAATCTTTTTCCGCCAATACGAGCTATTTCATTACACAATAGTGATAAACATTATGAAATTTTCATATTAGCAATGACTCATTTTAGTTTGGATTAACACAATATATGCCATGAAAAAATACAGATCAAATGAGAACACGGTCTGTTGAACTGAAATCGTATCATTGAAAACGGGTTAAATAAAACAACAACGCGCATGCCGACGTTCACATATGCTCATCGGGATAAAAAGTCAATCACAAAAATTCATGGACCTTCGCTTCTGGGTGGATTGGGGGCCGGACACCGGGTGTCGGAGGTCGACGAAGTGTTGAAAATGTACCAGTAAAATATTTGTATTCTTGAGCAATTTCATTATCTCTTCAAAATACTCAAATAATAATATAATGATAAAATATTTCTGTAAGACGTTTCAGTGATGTTGACTCTCGTTTTCAGTTGCATTAGGATCGGGGTTACAAAGTAATGTGTTTTCAAAGAAATAAATGCTCTATTTTGATTTTTTTGTTAAATGGAACATTGTACATTAAATATTATTTGTTGTCCTTAGTTCTATTAAAATATTATTTACGCAATAATTAGCTTCTCAGTACTTCTTCCTTTGCTTCCAGAAACGACTGGAGATAAGCGAATTAATGTCATCTAAGAGTATTTTTGAAACTATGATTAGAAGTTGTCAAACATCAATATTTAAGAACCAAGAAGGTATTAAGAATAATAAATTACAAATCACGGTAAGAAAATGGCAAAACAGCTATAATAATTATTATTACCACTATAGTGGTTTTGGCATTCTTTTTCCTTCTTTTGTAAACGTCGACGGCATAATAATTCATTTCCGTGTTTACTACATCTTCATTCATCTCTGGAAAGGAACAGACGCCGACCGAGGAGGTAGATGGAGGGGGGGAGGAAAAGGGGAAGGGAGATAAAGGAGAGTGACAAAAGAAGAAGAAGGAGAGGTGAAGAAGAAGGAATAGAAAGGGGGAAAGAAAAAGCGAAAAGAAAGAAACGATGATAAAAGAAAGAAGTTAGAAATTACAGATTATTTCAATTGTTTGAAATAACTCTTCTACGGCATGAGAAAATAAATGAAAACACCACTGCATCCACTGCACTTTGAGCAGTTATTCCTCTAACAGAAAAGGCTGGTGGAGATGTAACTAAACGTAGAACGATGAAAAAAATACAGGTTTTTTAAACTTGCTATCACTAGCCCTGATTTTTTTTAGGTGGTGCATCCCTTGCTAAACAAACGAGCGTTTCCAATTTCAGAGACTCGCAAACCTTCGCTTCCACTCCCATGTTGCATTATAGATCCGCCTCCGATCCCAAAGCCTTCATCCACAAAGAGCGAAGCCTCGGGGGGAGAGCGCCGCAACGGAGCGGGCTTTGTCCAGCGGCGCTGCGGCCACGCCTCGCGAGAAAGCGTGGCACGGCGAGTCATTCCCCAGGGAAAGAGCGCGCCCGCGCACGTAACCGCACGACAGCTGAGCTGGGGCGGCCTCGCGTGGCACCTGCTCGAAAGGCAGCGCCACACATTCGGCATTCGCCGAGCTACTGCTCGCGCAATCCCGAACAGCTCATGTGTTCGGCGAATGTTCGTTCCCTTTGATGTGTTTTAAGGCCGACACGCGGTGGATAGGGCGAATACCGAATGTTCGGCGCTCGGCGAATCGCAAGCAACCCGTCCATACTACTCGGGATTCGCCGATTGCCGCATGTGTGGAGCCGCCTTAAAGGCAGAGTAGCGAGTAGTGAGTAGCGAGCGATCGCTCGGCGAATCCCGAGTAGTTTGGATAGGTTGCTTGCGATTTGCCAAGCGACGAATATTCGGTGTTCGCCCTACCTACTGCGTGACGGCCTTTGGCACTCCTCAAAGGTAGCGAACATTCGCCGAGAAAAGCAGCTGCCCGGGGATTGGGTTAGCAGTAGCAACGGCGATGGTAGCAACAATGATAGTAGTAAACATACGGTGAGGAGGGCCAGGCCGGCCAGGGATGATACACCAGACGTAGAATCTATTCCCTGTTCTGCCTAACAGAAGAATATGATTTGTTTAGTTTGTTGCATCTTTGCAACGCGTCTATAAGCCGCTTCTGGGGCATTGAGCGCATGGAGTAATACTCCTTTAATCCACTCAATCGTAAGTCGTAGTCAGTCATTTCCTTTTATCGCTTCCAGGGGCGTGACACCGTTAGATTCTGAGTTCTCAGACGGTTACCCGATTAGGAATCCGCCAATTCTCGAATTGCTTAACTTCCGGGACTTCACGAAATGCAGTTAAGGGACTCAGCTAACAACGCCGGCTGTAGAAATAACACGCTGGTAACGTCTAGTACTTCAGCTAATTTGAAATAAAAATTACTTAAATAACGCAATATAGTTCTTAATTTTATAGCGCAATATAGCGCTTAATTTTAACGCAATTAGTTCTACATTCCCTGCTTAGTTCGGACAGTTTTAAAACAGCTAGTAACTGCGAGTTAAATTTCCCCCAATTGTCATTTTCTATTATAATTATCATTAAAGATCAATGACTACGATTCGGCAAACGACATGAGATTTACTCGCGATGACCATTAAATGCCTACTGCATTTTTGTATTTACGAAAGAGAAATTTAGAAACCTATTCACATTACACCTATGCAGTGCACGCGTCGTGTAGTAATACAGCCCACTTTTGCGGATGCAGTTTCTCTTCACTCACGTATCCTTCTTCCCGTGAAACCTTCTCGATTCACTCCTGGTTGGTACACATTTCACATTTTGTGTTGCCAACATTCACGTGTTTTTGTTAATGAAGACAATAAATTATGCGAGATACTCGTATGTTTCATAGCAATTCCATGAAAAGTCAGATCCGCAAATATCTTACTTTAGAAATAATTAGATCTTGTACAACAAATTATCAATATGTCGTATATAACTAATAGGGAGAATGTTTCAAATATTCCCAACATGACGATACTATTTTATTTACGTTTTAAAACGCCAACACAATGAATGAGAACTATATAATAAATTACTCCATGTTTTTATGTTTCAAAAGAAGATACAAAAGCATTTGTAGGACGTCCAATATAAAAATTGCTTCGTGGTGATAGTTTCCTCTAAAGAATGTATTTAAAAGACCAAGTACTGAAAATATGTAATGTAGGTGATAGGTATTGTCTCCTATACAGGTGATAGTGACCTCTAGAGAATGTGTTTTAATAGCCAAATATTCCAATTGAGGGATACCCAGGAGTTTATATAGCAATGTTTCTTTTGCATAATTACAGTACCATAAAAACGAAATACTGTCTCCCCAACTTATTGCATATTATTGAAAATATTTTGAAGTTTGTTTTCCTTCACTAGTGATGAGGCCATGTGGAAACGAATGTTATATTTGATCCTGAAGCAATCAGCTTGTAGCATTCATGCTCGTCTTTTCTATTCTTCCTTTTTTTCTTTTCAAACAAACGGTACGGTTTACGGTACAGATTTGGAAATATTTACAAAACTTTATCGAACTTTCAAAAACTGAACTGAACAAAAGTACAAATTCAGGAAAATATCGCGGGTGAATGACGTGAGTGATTTGAATTGCGCGCTATACAGCATCACGTTCGCTCCAAGCGGAGAAAGTTCGCACTGCGAGGAGTGCTCGAGCTGGAACGAATCAATTGGCCGCCCGCTGGTGGCGCTGCGCCGTGCTGTGGGCTGCTACTGAGATAATCAATGCCGTGGCCCGCGCTCCGAACCGGGCCAGACTCGAGCTGTCTCTGCAGCAGGTGGTAGTGCGTGCGGGACTTCCCAGTGGTTGAGCAGTGGATAAACGCGCGAAGCGGTTTAGCAACAGGTCTGACAGGAGGAAACAGGTGCTCCGATTCGCTGTAGAGTGCATTTCGTGTACAATTTAAGTTATGAGTGCTGGTGCAGTCGACGAAATACTCAATTACAGTAGAAAAGAGGAGGAAGACTTTTACGCAATTCTAGGATGTGATGAAAGCGCAACTGTAAGTAATAAATTAAGTTTGAGGGGTTAAGACATTTTCTCAATTTAAGGTGGATTGTTAAGATGTTGTTTTAACGTATGCAAGATAAGTGCCATTACATCTGTCAAAAAACACTACCTATTATTAACATTGATATTCGTTGCATATCCATTGTTGACATAGTCACGAAACTTTTATTTTTATTAGGTTGAGCAAATTACCGCAGAGTACAAAGCGCAAGCATTACAATATCATCCTGACAAAAATGAGGGAAACAAAGAAGCAGAAGCGAAGTTTCAAAAACTGAAAGTGAGTAAAATCACGCAACCCAATTCCAGAACATTTTTTAAAGGAAATGCAATTGTTGCGTTTGAGAATCGAACGTCCTCAACATTCCTTTATTTTTCCTTTGTTGTTATTTAGGAAGCAAAGGAAACACTATGCGACCCGGAAAAGAGAAAAAACTATGACAAGTGGCGCAATAGTGGCATCGCAATAAGTTACAAGCAATGGGTAGGAATGAAGGAACACGTTCATTCTGTGAGTATTCTGGTTTCTGCCGATCTTTGATTGAAATTACATAACTCCCGGGAGTGAAAGTTGTCTCCGCATAACATGTTTCGTTCTCATAGCGAAGTGGCCAAGGCGACGTTCACTTCTTATTGCCCGCGATTTAACGCCTATGAGGGCTGCTGCAAGGGGCGGGAGAAATTTCGACATTTAAATTACCGCTAAACCCTTCGCAATGCTGAGGTCTTGAACTTGTTGCGTTATAATACAAATGGACTGAAATTTGAAATATTGAATAACGATTCTCAACTATAAGGAAAATAATATTCTAAAACTATTTCACAATAAACTGGATTATTAAAAGTTGGGACCTAAGTTATGGTCATTGTTGTGGTCAACTGGCAATCCATTACTCTCTAAAATAAAATTATTAGTAGTAATTGCTTATTTGTAAATCTTTCTGTTTTATCAGTCCATGCATTGGTCTACATTGAAAACTAAAGACCGGATGCTTCCTGAAGCTGGTGAAGGTGGCAGTGTTCGAGGTGGACCAGCCACTTCAGCCGCCCATCGCAGAGCTTCAGAAGGGGGTGCTAATATCCATTGGGGTGCCCGTGGCACAGTACAGTGGGATTCAGAGGCTCCCAGTGAAGTGGTGAGCAAGTTTCGCAATTATGAAATTTAAACATTTATTTAAATGTCCACACACACACTTGTTTTGAAACTAAAAAGTACCCAGCATTTCCCATGTACTAACAGTAAAAAGCTGTGTTGACACTGGATGTTTGTCAATCACTTCTCGATGGAGTAGAGCACTTGTAAGTCATTCTGTATAAAAATGGATGTTCCACCTTGTAGGTGTTGTTCTAAAACTCATGGACAATCAGTTGTCTGACATTCCCTGTGACTGTTTAAAATCCATTTGATATTGTCTTCCTACAACTTCTGTCAATTTAAATAAACATTCCATTTTCAGTTCTTTTCAAAGATGTGTATGAATAATTTATTGTAGTACAAAGCAATTGCACAATACTCTGCTAACAGCAGTTACATCTTCTTTGACTTCTCATCAATAGTGAATATTTTTAAGAGCTGTACATCTTATTTTTATGATGTCAAAATTGCATACATATTTTTCCTGGACATGTCATGAATGTGCTCAACTGATATTTGCGTATTTGCTGATTGATGAGTCATATTCAACAATGTATTTTCTAATGACATTTTTTACATGTTAACCATGAGGCTGGTCCTATGTAGATTTCTTCTGTGATATGTATACTTACATGCATTTCCTCCCTGCTATCATTCCCATAGAATTTATGTGCTTTAAGAGTTCTAGTGCTCGTTGAAGGGGCTGATTATTGTTTGTTTGCATTGAATATATTGTTATTAATTGAATAATGTATAGTTCAGAGAGGTATTTGAGTGTTTTATTGTTATATTAAGATATTTATTTTTATTTTATTGATCAAACACATTATTATGTTATTTTATGTTCTATTGGGAAGATAGGACAATCCTGAATTGCCAAAAACAGGGTATTGAAAAACGTTTATTTTTGTATGTGCGTGGTAAAGGAAAGATGCGTAAGTATTTGTGCTGAATATTCGTTATGTACTTAAACAAAGATGTGCAATATTTTTCAATAAAACCAACACTACAGTTATGGAGCAGAGACCTACAGTACTATTGAATCTACTAGTTGCAAAGTTTAATGTTCCTTCTGCAAGATTTGTGTGTACTGTATGTAAATGTTCTGGAGAATATATCTATGAAAAGTTTTAAAGACTCATGAATTGGAGGATTTTTGTATCTCTCCCAATAAGGTTTCCTTATTCACTGTATGTACAGAATCTTTAGTTATGTATCAGAAGAAGAAAGGTGTGCTTTAATAAATGTTTGGTGCAAACACACAAACTTTGTTTGAATATTTACATTGTTTCCCTTGAAATCAGAATTAATTTTGCAGTTAAAATTAATAAAAGAATATGTAAGTATTTTTTAACAGAAAGAGCTATATGCAACAACTTGGTAATGGATCTTCCAGATCAACCTTGGTATTCCTGTAACACAATATTTTGCTTTCTTCCATAAACAATTGCAATCACTCAGGTATCAGTTGACAATGTTCAGAAAAATGTACTAACATGCTTAAATGCCTTAGAAAAATATTGAAAAAGAAAAGAAAATTAGTGCTTTCCAAAAAGTCTTGATTGCTTTTATCTGTGGGTTAAATAGGGCTCATGTATGAGATTCAGATAGGGAGAAAATAGAAAAAAAACTTCATTTACAGCCTAGAAGTAAAACAAAGGCCCAGTTTTGCCATGCCAATAAGATGTTATTTTCTGGTTGTTCATGGAGTAGAATTTACATCACTATTAATTGGATAATACCTTTTTTTAGATAATTTTTCAATAAAAAAGAGCATCTAACTTTACTAAAATAATCACTCACAGCAATCGCATTCCTGTAGAGGTAGTAAAATTATGTTGAACATCAGATATTTTCATTTTGTTATTGCAAAAATTACAGAGGATGGGAATAACCCAAAAATTCTGTTAAAATATCTTATTCTCCATACAATATTACATCCTGTCAGTGTCTGCAAAAACAATTCCATACCACAGGACAGTTAAAATCACATGTGAAAAGAATACCACTATTGTATTGTCAACTACACTTAAAGATTTTATATATACATATATAGTATATTTATAAAGATCTGTCACACCAGAATAAAGGGATAACAACATAATATTTATTGAAGTCTTTTAATTGTTTAATATTTGTGAAGCCCCTGGTCCATTTACAGAGGTGGTTAATGGAACATAAATAAGCTTAAAGATGTCTTAAAATTGGTTCCCGACTTCCCACAACCTACAAGAGGAGTGGGAAATTAAATAAATCATTAATTATACCTTATGTTGAATTTTGTTTAATTCCTTCGCAAAATGTTCAGCTTCGGTGGGTTAGTTCATCACAAAAAAAAAAAAAATATTGTCATTTACCTATACTTGAGCAATTTTTCAACATGAAAATGAATTATCTCAATATAATATGAATAAAGCTGTAGACTGGATCATTGAATTACTGCTCAATTATCTAGAGATGCATTCATTAGGTTATGTGCATCTACTTAAATATCTTAAACATATAAAATGAAACTAAGAATAGAAAAGTGATACAATAATTAGAAGATGACTTTTAAATTTACAAAAGATATTTGAGAAAAATGCCCATAAAAATGAGAAGAAACTATTTGCATAAGTTTTTAAATTAGTGGGACATAATTACTTTATCTATATTGGAATATGGTTACATAATTATTGTAAAATTTGGCAACAAAAAACTACAACAAGACAAGAAATACAACATTCATTGTACTCTGGTGATTCTCTATCTTTTTAGCTCTATGGCTCCATTAAATAATAAGAAACTATGTTATGAATGTTTTGCTACACCCCAACACAATCCAATTAAATTGGTTACAGCATTTAGCAGCATTGATAGCAATGAGTAAGAACAATTTGTTCATAACAAATTATTTTTTCTCACACAATTATTTCCATATGGTGTATGTAGAAGTTGCAGGATAATTTTGCAACCCTCTATCATATCACTGCGACCTCCTTGGGAGTCATGACTTGTGACCCCCAGGTTGGGAAAAGCTGTTCTATAACATCTCATTAGATAAAAGACAAGAAATTCAACAAGTTTTTACAATCTCCTAAAAAATTTACAGAAATTTCAGTGTTTCTTTGGAACACCAGCACTCAGATCATATAAGTTCAATAGCAAAAGATATTGAAAGAAGCACACTTCAATGCTTCTTGCATATACAACTATTTAAGACACAAAGTTTATTGAAAACCACAAGATCTACATATTTAAATTTTAATAATAACATAATACAAAAAGATGTTTACATTTATTCTTTAATAAACCCAAAAACTTTCACACTTCAAAAATAAAATACTTTTAAAAACCTGTTTAGAATAATTAAATGCTTGAATTCCACAAGTTACTTACCTGCATTGACATTTGAGGATATTATCAGACACAGGTAATAGACTCCACTTTCCTCCTCTTTATATGTTTTCTTCTTAGTTGAAATGGTTCTAACCTAAATAGGTACTGGAAAAATGACATGAATGAAAATCTTATGTTAATATCTTAGAGGAAATACTCTCAATAGGTAATATGGTGATTACTTGGATTGTATTTCATTAGCAAATGTATACGTCTGTTTTCAGCCAGAAATAGTTCACTCAGAATAAGATTAAGGAACAATTTTTAATTCATTATAAAAATGTATTTGCAACTTACAATTTATTCAAATGGCAAATTATATTGAAATATTTTTGGTAAACGGGTATAAGGATGAGATCGTTGTAAAAAATTAATAAAAAAAAGAAGATGCCTCAATTATTTTCATCTTTTTATTTTTAAAGCTTTGAATTCATAGACAATAATATGTATGGGTTGTCACTTAACAATACTCTGTGGCATGTGAGGTATGAATCAAAAATACTATGTATTTGTTGTTGGGTTAAAATCAAAGTGACAAATTCAATACAAATGACAAGACAATAATGCCTATAAGTAGGTAAGGTGGTAAATAAAGTATCCTGCTTATGGATTCAATACAGAATAGTATTTTCTAAGTGATATAGAATTAAAAAGTTGCATAGAAAACATTTCAAAATAAAATGTTGAAGGCAAAATTACAAATTCAATACATTTTGTGTAAAATATATTAAAATCTGAACCTGACTGTCAATATTTCATAATATGATGTTTGCGTCTGGAAGACACATCCAATGCATCACTAGTTACAAAAATCTTACACTGAAAACTGATCAAATTAAACTGAATTCCAGCAGTAAAAAAAGATTTCAGTTAGTTATATTCTAAAGTAGGCCTCTGTAACATTGCATAACAGTTTAGTACCACAATAATTATAGAAAACAAATTTTGCACACATATTCCACCTCCAATACATCAATAATACAGTCTACTTTTGTTTTCAGTGCTACATATTTCCATATTTGGTTGCAAGCAGTTTTTTACACAATCAGTTCTCAAGTGCTTTTGAACATTCCTGTTTATGTTGCGACTATTTTGCTTTGACGAGATTCACATCCAGGAGATTCAATTGATCACTAGATATTTCAGAGCAATGCATTATGGCACAGTCCAATAAAATTAACTTGCTCTCTTAATTTCTTTTCACTCAGATTTACCTTTTAAGTATGTAAATCACATGCATACTTTCAGAACATTCAGTCCTTATCTAAAACACACCATTTTAAATTATCAGTCATTTGTAAGAGCACAAGGTCTTCTGAATTCTTGTCCAACTTCATGTATCCATTTATTTGATACTGGAAATCACAATAAGAAACAATTTGAAGAGTAGCATGATTATGAAAACATGATCGTTGAAAAATATAACTAACTAAACATTCAAAGTTATCTTACCCCATTTAGATCCTGCAAGTACTGGGCATGCTGCATGTCTAGTTTTGAAATCCCCTTCCCCATTCTTGTACAGATTGTACCAGAAAGCTGCAGAACCTTTTTTAGGCCATAAGGCAACTTTAATAGATGGAAACACTGTGCCACCTCCTTGGGGAACATCACTCATCTACACAATTGAAATAATAGCATTTAACAATATATTAATGTCCTTCAATTGGTGTTCCTTGAAATCTTTAAATTAATATGCTTAATCTACCAGTTGGAAAAAAGTATAGTAAGGCAGAGAAAACAACACATTTGTAACTTAATTTATTTGCATTTTCATTAAAATGTAAAATCACTTTTGGGAATATAAATTTACAACAGAAATACTTTTTACATAATACTTACATAAAACAGCACAGTTGCTATGCGATTACCCGTACCAAGTTTCTTGAATGCATTATGTTCTTCTTTCTAATGAATGACATTTATAATGACATGAGTAAAGCCCAATTAATCAAAACTAACAGTAATTTAATTCATAAGAATACTAGTAAACATAATGGAATCAACTCAAAACTTGTTAGCTGTACATTTTCCATTAAAAGTACTTACTCTTGCAAAATCATAATGTGGTTCATAATGTCCTCCAATTCCGTAATTCACAACTTGAAGTTGCTCTGCAGTTTCCATAGTAAGGCCAGTCAAATCTTCAACTCTCCTGTTCACACTGTGAATGTGCTTATGATCTTCATCACTCAACCAAGCAGACTTACTGATACGGTAGTGTGCTACTTCGAGTTCCCCAGTTTCAGAATTTTGTACTGTAGCTCTTCTGAACTGCATGAATGATTCAACATACTTTTAATGGTTGATGAACAAAATGCAGTTAAATTTTCATTAAGCTAAAATGATGCCCAAAAGCTGTCCATAAATTACCAAATGCAAATTTGTAGTATTTTAAAAAAACCCTCTTTACCGTGTAACACACCCTTAAAACTCACTGAAATAATTACACAATGCTTGCCACAAGCCAATCATTTACAATAAGTAAAAACAAATTATAAAGCAGTAACAATGAGTATATTAATTTCATGTGTTGTACACTAGAATTTATGATAATTAAAATCAGAATTAGTTTGAGATGTGGACTGAACCTAATAATAAGGTAGGGGACAATTTTGAATGAAAATTCCTGGATGAGAAATTTTCTGACCACAAGCACGCACATGCTGTCATTGACTGGTTATATAGCCGGATCAAATGCAATGGGGTCTTGAGTCTACTGAACCAATTTAACTTAATTTTAGAATATTGTATAGATGAGTTTGAATATTTTCTTTGAATATAACATATTCAATCCACAAACCATTAATGGAAAAATATTTCCATTCATTGTAACAATTTATATATTATAACTTTTTAATTTATTTATATTTTTTATTTTAATTTGTTAATATTTTAGAATATCTACCGACCATTAATCCTATTTTCATGTTTTAGTATACAATGGAATGAAAGGAATTATTCCATGTGTTGAGAAATTTTAAACATAAATATCATCACTACGTAACACTGATCTATGACCTCCCCAAGTTGTAACACTGGCTCAAACCTCCCCTCCTCTTTAGTGTTATGCAATTTATGAACAAACCCCTAGTAATTGTATAAAAGCTTTGAAAACATACCCTAGGCTGAGCTAGTCTCTTAATGGTTTCTATTTCAGGATCATAAATAATATCATGAAATATAACAATTCGAGGTTTCAGATATGCTTCTTCTTCCTTTACACGAGCCAATTTTAAGAATGGTGAACCCAAGTCTGTGTATCGACATTTGAGTTGTGATTGAATATCAACAGGAACTGTTATTTCATTTCTGCAGAGCATTTCATAAAGCTCTCTTTCAGGAAGATCATCAGTTTTTGGTTTCTTTTCCATGACAACTTTTGCCTGTCAAATTAAAAATAGATAAATAGATACTGTTTAATACAACCATTACTACACAAATCTGTTGATAAATAGTACACATAGATCACACAAAATAATAAACAATCTTATTTCTATATACTCAAAACAATGAATAATTATAACATAGGTATGAACTATAGGTAAGTACAAACTACATGTATATTTTGTCAGTCTGTGCAAGAGAAAGAACTTCAGATTTAGGCTGAAGCAAGATTTCAGCTACCAATAAAGATGGTGAAGAATGTTTGAATAATTTTCTGCCAGTTAGTACATCATATTTCCTTACAACAA